TAGTCAACCCAGAAGGACGGATCTTGCTGGGGGACTCTGCAAAGTCTACCATGTCGGACACCGGTGCGGAGAAGGAAGAAGCCACCACGAAGGGGGAGCCCTCCCTCTGGTCGGAACCCTGTCAGCTATCCAGCTCCGAGACGTCCTACACCTCGGAGGAAGAGGTGGTGGAGATGCGCAGCCGTAAGCCCCGCTGGTCCATGGGCATAGGAAAGAAAGATGAGTGGGAAAAGAAATCGAGAAAGGTGACATTGAGGCAAGGCAGCCACCAACTGAGATGGAAGCAAGAGATGGAGAGATTCCTGCACCCTAGCGGGGATGAGGACAATCGCGGGGAGCAATTGAGCTGGATCCTGGAGAAGGCGATCGACCTGATGAAATCAACTCTCGCCTCCCTCAAAGATGAAAAGTCTGAGCCCCCCAGCCACACCATTACCTTGGCCTGCAGCAAAAGAGGGGGAGTCTCAAGCCGAGGCCCCAGGAATATTAGGCGGAGCAACCGAGACCATAGCCATTGCGGCTGCAGCCCCCACTCCCCGCCATGCGACAGCTGCTGATCGGGATGGACGATACCATAGACGACGTAGGCATCAATCCATCCAGACGTTCCCGCCACTGGACATGAAGTTTCAAGGAGAGCCATGGCGCCTGGGGTTCTTCCTTACCCAAGTCCTCAGCTACGTGGAAGAATATGGCCGAGACATCCTGACTGACAAGGCTCGGATCCGCATCGTGCAGGCAGCCCTGGACAGCGTGGCAGCTGATTGGGTGGTAGACTCCGATGCCCAAGAGCTCCAGAACTTCAACCAGTTCATGTTCTCCCTTAGATGATGATTCAAGGACCCGTTGGCAGACCGGAAGGACCGTGAGAAGATTTAAGACGGTGAAGCAAGGCAGACGTCAAGTGGCCGAGTACACCCAGGGCCGAGTACACCCTGGGCCATTGCTAGCAATGGCCCAGGAATTCCGGGCCATTGCTAGCAAGCTGAATTGGCTGGAAGACATCCTGCTTAGCCATTTCAAGGATGGGCTGAATTACGATCTCTACGATGCCTGCCTTCCCCGGGAAGACCCATACCAATTGCACGATTGGTACGTCCTGGCAGAGGAAGCCGAGATTGACCTGCTCAAGAGACATCGCAGAGGAAAACCGTGGAACCGATCACCCCCTAAGCCGTCACGCAAGCCTGCAAACGCACAGCCAAGAAGACCACCAGCTGCTTCAAGTTCGGGAAAGAGGGGCATCACGCCGCAGAATGCTGCTCAAGGAACCCTCAGGAGAAGGCCGACTGAACACTAGCTGGGAAGTCAGGGAAGTCACCCGCCAAGCTGCAAGAACCGGCCATGAAGGGCACTGAGGCCGAGTTCCCCCCTCCATCCAACGGGGGAAGGGAATCCCAGTCTACACCGCAGACAGTGACCCCTGTGGTGTGGCTGTGTCATTGACCAGTTGGGGTTTTGGGGTGAAGTATCTTGAGTGATATCTGGACAGTATCCAGTTGTGTGCTGTGGACCTGTCCATGAATGGGTCTTCAGGTGCTAATGTTGCCCCCGGTGTTGGTAAGTTGCCATCCAGATCTATAACAGTTGTCCTCTGGAGGATTCTTCATGAGAGAAGAGGAATGTTGGGAAGAATTCAACTTTGACCTTTCTGATCCTGTAATAATCCCATAGGTATTTTGGGGTGGCATTAGACGTGTCTGTTGAGGGTTTGCCAGTCCATGCCCTTCCAAGAGTAAATGTAATTCTGTCAGAGTACCATCCTGGTCCTTTGGCATTTGATTGAGAAGGTATATGTATTCTTAAGTTGTTTACTAATCTCAGGTTAGTAATTCCATTTTTTCTTTTCCATCTGTATCTGTGTCTCCTCCTCCTTTGTCTTTTTCTTCCTCCGGCTCCTCCCCTTGTTTTGCCCCACCTCCTATGAAATGATTGGCCAGCAAACCGCCACCGGAAATGAGGCATCTGTAAAGGAAATATAAGAAGTGCCTGTTAGTATTACCAGGCACTTCGGCACACATCAGCACAGACCTACAGACGGATCATAAGAACTTGGAGGCCCTAAAAATGCCCAGAAAAGCTCACCCCCAAACAAGCCCGGTGGTCGCAACACTTCCACCAGTTTACGTTCACAATCAAACACTTAATGGGGGAGGAATTTCCTGGCAGACGCCCTATCCCGCATGCCCCAGTACAATAGCTCCCGGCCAACCATCTCCAAACCACTCATGCCAGAAGCGCGACTGGCAGTGCAAGTAACCACAAGAGCTCAAGCAAAACTAAAGCAGCCAATAGCCAGCCAAGCAGGGATCGAATTAAGGAAGGCTCTAGAAACTGATGAATGGTTCCAGAGCCACAAAAACTTGTGCACTATCACTGATGGCTTGTCATGGCTGGGGGAGAAACTGTACATCCCGAAAACCCAAAGGATTACATTTATGCAACTCTGCCATGACACAAAACCAGCAGGTCACTTTGGATTCGTGAAAATGCTGCATCTAGTAAAAAGACAGTTCTGGTGGCCATTTATGAAAAAGGACATTGAGAGCTATGTGGCCAGCTGTCCAACCTGCACAGCTACTAAGAGACTGCAAGGGAAAGTCCCCAGACTGCTACAGCCAGTGGCAAACCCCTCAGCCCCCTGGAAGAAAATCTCCATGGACTTCATAGTAGAGCTACCAGAAAGTAATGGAAACACAGCAATCTGGGTGGTCATGGACTTATTCTCAAAACAAGTACACTTCATCCCCTGTCCAAAAATCCCCACCGCTAAAGCCGTAGCAAAATTGTTTGTCCAGCACATATATAGACTGCATGGGGCACCCCAACACATAATATTGGACGGGGGGGTGCAATTTCCATCGGACTTTTGGAAAAGAGTTCCTATCCCTTCTGGGGACCACCCAGGGGCTGTCATCTAGTCATCATCCTCAGATGAATAGGGGGACAGAACATTCAAACTCAGTACTTGAGCAATATCTAAGATGCTTTATTAATTTCCAACAGACGAACTGGACCGACCTACTCCCTTTTGCAGAAGTGGCATACAACAACACAGTACATTCCAGCATGGGCTACACCCCATTCCAAGTACTGTAGCTACGGGGAAAGTTTCAACCCCATGCCGGAACTAAGTGCCATCGAACCGGCCATTCCCTCCTTGAAGGAGTGGATCGCACAATTAAAAAACACCTGGCCAGTAGTTAGAAAAGCGCTAGATGAAGCTAGACAGGCCTATAAAGCACAAGCAGATAAGAAAAGAGTCAAACCAAAAGCATTCCTTGTAGGGGAAATGGTTTACCTATCCACAAAATACCTAAAATCCCTGCAGCCATCCAAGAAACTAGGACCAAAATACGTGGGACTGTTCCCCATCAAAAGAATCATGAACCCATAACAGTAGAGTTAGAATTACTCAAAACCCTCAGGCAGATTCACCCTATCTTCCACTGCAGCCTGCTAAAATGAGAGCAGCGATCACCGTTACGACCAGCCATCGTCCCACCCCCTCCTCCCATTATGGTTGACGGGGAGCAGCATTTTGAAATAAAAGAAATCCTTGACTCCCGAAAATTCCATGGAGCGACTCAATACCTAGTAGCGTGGAGGCACCTTCCCACTTCCCAAAACGAATAGGTGCACAAACGTCACGTTAGTGCTCCTAAACTATTAAGAAAGTTTCACACAGATTACCCAAACAAACCAGACTAACCTCTCACTATTTGTTTTGTCTCTCAACAGATTGATCTCTCATATTTTTAAGGGGGGCAGGATGTGAGAACCCATATCTATCTGATTTCTTACTTCCCTTGCTCTCCTCTCATATTTCATACTTCCCTTGCTCTTCTCTGACCCAAATTCCATTCTCTTCTCTCCCTGGGTTCTGCAATACTCCTAGAAGGGAGGGGGAAAACATCGCGAGTTTATTGTCTTAGCTTCCTCTATCTCTACAATGTAACACTTTGCTTTCCTGCATTCTTTCTCTATCGCTACAGTGTAACACTTCGCTTTCCTGCATTCTTTCTCTATCGCTACAGTGTAACACTTCGTTTTCCTGCACTATTTCTTTCTGTACTTTCTTCTCCCTAAACTGTCAGCTAGCAAAGAGGGAGCAAGAAAGGAATGCAACCTCCAGCAACTGGCTTATCTCTCTGCTCTCAAGAGAAGGTGCGAAGAGTCGTCTAAACATCGCTGCTACGACCAGAGCCGGCCCGATGTTATCTCCCCTTTCCCACGATGGACTTAATGCCTGGGGATTGGCTGGTTTGAACCATCTGTATGAACTATGGGGTGGGGTTTGCTTGGGGACACTTTAACCTATTGATCTGCACGGGAAACCCTCAGATCCTGTCTAGTATGCCTGCTATCAGCTTCTCGTAATAAAAGTTCCTTTTGGAAGAGCTGCTTCCATGAGTTCTGCTTTCTTGGGATGAGGCATTGAAGCGGGTCTTGACAGTAATAATCTTTGTCTTCCTGTTGCTCTTTAGTTATTCTGAGCCTGGAATATTCAAAATCTGCAGGCTACCATGAGAAAAGTTTTTTTTTCAAAGAATAATATATACATTGTAATAATAAGTTATAATAGTATGAAAATATATACTTTCAGACAGTTTGCCTATTGTATTATCAAACTGTATGGAAAACACTAGATTTGGGGAATGCTATTGTATTCCTGGGGGTAAATTCAATGGAACTGTCAGGTGCAAGAAACCAGGAGCCGGGTTAGAGTTCAAAAGTACTACAAGTTTATTTCATGCTAAATAAGAATCTGATCTATTGATGATCAAGGCAAATTGGTGCTAGATAAGAGTCAATGGAATTCATGGAAGCCCAGACTTAGGACTCTTGTGGGTGTGTAGAAACTCTAAACTGATAATACATTTGATTCCAACCTTCGGATGAGCCTGGTCATCTCCTACAGGAACTTAGTAGTGGCTATAAGATGCAACAACAATAACAATTGACTGAGATAGTCTGTTACAATATTTCTTATGTTTTAGGACAGCAAAGTGCTCTGCCTCTTCTAAGCCATGACCCTAGATCCCGGAGAGGTATCTTAAGAAGGGCTGTCTTTTCAGAAGAGCAACGAAAATCTTTGGAGAAAATGTTTGAGAAACAGAAATATATCAGCAAAACAGACAGAAAAAAACTGGCCATTAATCTGTGTCTGAAGGAGTCACAGGTAAAAATAGATTTGGTACAGTGACTTTCCCCCAGATAGTGCTTCTCAAAGGTGTGGACTTCAACTCTTCAAATGGCTGTTGTGGTTGGAGAATGTTGATATTGGAATTCCACAGATTTGGAGGGATGCCCAGATTGGGAAAGGTTGTGGGAAAAATATTTAAAACTTGTTTTCTTTAACAAGAAAACAAAAAAGACAATATGTATAAAATAACCAGGACAGATAATTTTCAACTACATTTTGAGAACAAAGTTGTCAAATATGGGAATGAACTTCTTTATAATGTATCAAAAAAAGAAAAGCCATATTTAGATTTGCTTGCAAAAAAAAAAAGATTGTATATAGAAGATGCAGGGGAAAATAGAGCATCTTAATGGTTTAACCTAAACCTCACTGTAGCTGAGAGGCAATATATAAATTAGTAGCTTGGGTTAGAAAAAATGCTCAGATGATCCAATTGAGTAAGTTAGCAATTTCTAAATAATAGCTCAGATGGGTAAGTAGGATCTTTAAGTAATACAAATGTATTTCAACTTCTGAAGTTTGATCACATATGAAAGAAGGGGTATGGCTCCTCACTGACCTCAATCCAGGACCCATAATTTGCAGACTGAGAATTATGTGCAGTTCCTTACAAACATGGTGGCAATCCAATGAACCCTTCCAAAATTGCCAACAAATTGTAATTTCTGCAGTTTAAGGAAGGTAAAATTATATTTTGGGGAGCATTACATTAAATATGATCAATATAATTAATTACATTTATAATTAAACGAATCATACCTTTTGCCCTGCTCTGCCAATTTTGGGGGAGAATATGACTCCTATATGCTACCAAAAGCATTTTGATCCCCCCAAGTTTAAGGTTACTACCTTAAATATGATTTTCTTATGTTTCACATTAAAAGTTCGCATAGACTGAACTTCTAAAATTTGTTAGTATTACCCTAATTTCCAATTGGCATAAAGTGTACTTGGGACTACAGGACTATCTATTTCCATCCTTGGTGTGACCATTTTTTTCTGACAAATTCATTCCTTATTTGAACCTCTTATTGGATTTTCCTAATAAGCTAGATGGAAGCTGGAGTGTTTTATGCTAGGCAATTTTGGCTACGGTAATGAAAGGAGATGTCTTAATTTAATAATTATAAAAAGTTTCTTTTAGACAGAATTACCTAAACAATCTAAAAGACTTGTCTCTATCTCACAGGTCAAGATCTGGTTTCAAAATCGAAGGATGAAATGGAGAAACTCCAAAGAAAAAGAAGTGCTCTCAAATCGGGATCTGCCAGAGGAAGGTCTTCCAGGGGTTTAAATTTTTCCTCCTCACCATGTCCAGTCTGGGAAATGTCTCAACAACAATCAAGTTCAAGATGGCAGAATTTCCCAGAATGGGCTGGGAGACTGAGTAACAGAATTAGTCTGCAGCCACACATAAAGCCAACTTTGTCTTCCGACACATCATATTTGTATCAAGAAAGAGGCACCATAGACAAGGAACTCTCTCATAAGAATAGTAAAAATGATGGAAACCACTGTTTGAAGTGAACTCTAATTAACTTTATGAGAGAACTGAATTAGATTACGTATTCCATCACTGGTTCAAATAAAATGTAACACATTTATATTGACATAATTAATAGTTTAACAAATATTCAGTAATTAATCTTCCTTTATGTTCCTTCCAGCTGAAATAATATCTTTAAGTACAGTGAGAGGGAACTAGTGGTAAGTAAAATTAAAGCGTGAAACAATACAAATAGATTTGGATTTTGCAATCAATCAGATTAAATTAGCATTTCATTATATAGTCATTAATAGAAATTATGGAATTGAGGACATCTTATATTGTATGATATTAAGTCTGCATTATTATAGGATTTGTGATACATATAAAAATATAGAGAAATAAAATGGAGTTTGATGATCTATCTGTACAGTTGCCTGGTACAGATTACTGAATCTGGGCTTTCTAACCCCGATTTGGTGAAAATATCAGAATTTGTCTTTAAGAGTAGGAATAAGCACCTATAAGCATGACAGGACTCCCATTCATTTTTGCTATTATTGTTGTCATCAAGAAGGGTAGCTAGGGATCAAAAGCATCCAAAGGACATTTGTTACATTTACATCATGGGCATATGCAGGGCAAAAGGAAAATAACTTTATGAGAGCAAACATGTAAATTATGCAAATTATGCAATTCAGGTCACTTGTATGAGGATATGTTGCTCATAATGTCAATGTGTTTTATTCCTTGTGGCTATAATTCCCATAATTAAGGCAGGGTTTCCCTGGAGTGAAAAAAAAGGAAAGTTGTCAGATTTAGATTCCAGTTTTGTACTTATGTATCTAGATCAGAGCATGCTGAGTGACATAGAATTTACTTATAAATAAATATGCTCTAGATTAGTTTTTCTTTTGCTTTGAATTGAACCAGATAGGAGGTAACAGGTAATCTAAAAAAAGGATAATAAAGTATAAAGAAACAAACAAATACATAAATAAATAAACGGTGGGGAACACTCTTGAGTCATTCTGGGTAGTGATGATTGGTGTTAAAAAATATTAAATCCAGCAATGGAACACCAAATCAACTCCATATATTAGGCTAATGAAATATCTAGTTCCAAAACCATACTTCCCTTTTATTGCATCTCATGTGGAAACTTGAATGAGTTATTTACTCACTGTCACACAAAATGCTTGGAAATTGTCACTGTACATTGGCTACAGACTTATTCCTGTGGAACAGCTTGCCTTCAGAAATTGTGGGCACTCCATCACTGGAGGTTTTTAAGAAGAGACTGGACAGTCACTTGTCTGAAATGGTATAGGTCAGGGGTAGGGAACCTTGGTTCTTTTATGACTTGTGGACTTCAACTCCCAGAATTCCTTAGTCAGCATGGCTGGTTCAGGAATTCTGGATATTGAAGTCCACAAGTCATAAAAGAGCCAAGGTTCCTTACCCCTGGTATAGGTTCTCCTGCTTGAGCAAGGGCTGAACTAAAAGACTTCCAAGGTCTTTTCCAGCTTCTATTCTATTCTATTCTATTCTATTCTATTCTATTCTATTCTATTCTATTCTATTCTAAATGATGGCTTTTCTGCCACATTATACAAAAGGAAAGTGAGTAGCAGAGAAATCATTGACAATGATGAAAAAATTTCAAAAATGTTTATACTGCATTATCTTACAACTTTTTAAAGATTTATTTAACATGCAATGTCACACATTGCAGAAATTCTTATGAATGCAGGACAATTGATATGGCATCAGATTTCTGATTTATATGTATAACTGTCCAGATGACATAGTAATCAGCATACAGGATAGGAATTTGATTTTATGCACTTCTGTTTATCGTGGCCATGGGGCCCAAAAGGGCCATACGGCTGCATCTGGTCATTTAGCACTGCGAGGGAGCACATGGATCTTAAAGAATGCTACAGATATGGGTGACTATTGCTCCCCAATACCACAAGGATTAGTGCTATCCCCTACTCTTTTTAACTTGTACATCCTGAAACTGTTCCTTGGAAATTTATTTATGCTGGTGATATCAGTCTCACAGTCCAAAGAACCAATTTCAGTGATGCAGAGGACATCCTCTCTCAAGATCTCCAGAAGCTGGATGACTACTTCAAAAAAATGGTGCTTCCAACCAAACCTAATAAAACAGAAGTAGCCATATTCCACCTCAACAATAGGTACACAAATTACCAGCCTTCAATGAAGTTCCCATAGTTTATTTTATAATGTAATAACTCTCTGAAGTACCTGGAGTTAACAGTAGACAGATCACTAACCTTTTGGCAACACTTGGAACAAACAACTGCAAAATTGAAAAGCCGCACCAATTTACTGTAGAGACTGACTAGAACAGGGGTAGGCAACCTTGGCTCTTTTATGACTCGTGGACTTCAACTCCCAGAATTCCTGAGCCAGCCATGCTGAGGGGAAAGGGAGAGGTTTCCAAGCTGAGCCATGTTGGCTCAGGAATTTTGGGAGTTGAAGTCCACCAGTCATAAAAGAACCAAGGTTGCCTACCCCTGGACTAGAACATCATGGAGTGTTGATTCTAATACCCTACAAACAACAGCCCTGGCTTTGGTTTATTCCACAGCTAAATATTGTGCCAGCATGTGGCTTAACAGCGCCCACCCAAATGTTCAATATCCGACTCCACCAGACAATGCATATCATCTCTGTCACTTTGCATCCCACTCCTGTGCACTGGTTACCAGTACTTAGCAATATCATACCACCCCACATTAGAAGGCAACAAGCTCTCATTCGGCTATAGTCAAGGATACTGAATAACAAGGCCCTCCCTATTCACCAGGACAATGCACAGCCCATCACAAGATTGAAATCCTGTAGGCCAGCATGGAAAACAGCTATTTACTAAACATCTACCCTGTGTAATCTTGAGAATACCTGGAGAGAGGAATGGTCCAAAGTACTTTCTTGTGGCCTGAACATTAGTTATCCCTCTACTAAACCACCTGGTTTTGATCTGTCTTGCTTTGTCTGGTCGAAATTGAACAGAATTAGTTGTGATATTGGAAGAAGTACCTCTGTCCTGTATCTATGGGAATGGAAAGATTCCCCTGTTGCAGTTGTGCTCATATGCAAACTATTAAACGTATTATATAAGATTGCCCACAATGTGCATTCTCTAGTTCCCTAGAAGATCTGCATGATGCAATACCAGAGGCATTCACCTGGATAGCTGAATTGAACATCCAGTTATGAAGCCACTGCCATACCTCCAGAGAAGTTTTATATATAATTATGTGGACTGCATATATATGTTTACTTCTCTTCTGTCATGTTCTAATCATATGCTAAATAATAAGAATAGGAATTCTATGGCATTTAAAAAAATGAATTTGAATTTTTGTAGCTACACACTTTAAGACTAATCAGAAGTACACTATTCCAACTAAGCATGATTTAGGTAAATATAGCTATTGAAATCAGTGGAATTTATATGTTGAACTGTTAATTTCTGTACACACTGATTCTTTTCTAAATCTGCTGAATACTAAGAAAAATATGTGTTGTATCAAAGTAGTCAAATAGGTCAGCTTGGAGAGCAGTAAAAATGGCAGCAGATGGATATAAAAAGACAAGCTGCTGTAAATAAAGTTTGACAGCTTGATAAAAGAAGAAAAAAAAATGAAAATAGACCTAGTAAGATTTTTCAAATAAAGGGTAAAAAAAGGAAAAGATTTGTTATTGCTGTCTAACCACAGAAGCATGAATAGGTCCAATTGACTTAACTTCATCTGAACTTTGACAATGCCCTCACACTCGGGGGGGGGGAGGGAAAGGTAGATGGCTCCAGGCAAGTGTTTTTTTAATGGAAATACGGCCACCAGCCCCCCCCAAAGCAGCTGTGGTGGTAGATGGAGGAGAAGGAATGGCGGAGGAATCAGAGGAGGAATCAGTTTAGTTTCATTAACCAGGTGCTGACCATTAGTTGAGAAGATTCCTGTGAATAGGCTTTTAGCAATAAATGAGTTAAATTGAGCCTTCATGTGTGGACCTGTTTTTTTGCGCCTAACAATAGAGTCCAAACTCACCAAGGAAAAAATGTGAGTCACAGGACTATTAGCCCCAAAAGGATATTACACCTGAGTTAAAATGAATTTAATTTTTAAAGTAAAACTAAGCAGCTAGTTCCATTGAAGTCCAGTGAAAGTTAATTTGTTTTTAAATTAATTTTAAAATCACAATGCTTTTCTATTTTTAAAATTATACTATAGTTCATTAAAGTATGCACAGTCACAAAACTGTATTTCATCTACCGCATGAAGTCTACAATATTTAAAAACTGTCATCCTTAATTCTTCAGCTGATTACATAAAAATAATAATGTTTGAGTCCAGATTCTCAGTTAATTACTTACTGAGATGACAAATATACCAAAGGCTTATTCTCCACAGACAATACACAATTGTAATCTTGAGAAATGGTTTATCCCAGATGATTCAAATTCAGGTTATTGTTTCCTAACATACTCCTCTATTTATGCAATGTTGGACTTTATTGGTGTTTTCCCTAGAGCACTGAATAAATTCATAATCACTCATGAAATGTATTCCATTAGTAATAGATAAGACAGCTGTTTCTGATGATCTCACACAATTCAGTAAATTGCTGATTATCCCCATTGACTGCATCTGTATGAAAAACAAAACAATAAGAAACACTTAATGGAACAGTCCTTAATTACAAGTCCTTTATTCCTGTATCTGATAGAGTGATAATGATCCAAATAAATAGTACTCCAGTAAATATGAATGTTATACAGGTTTACGCTCCCACAGCTGACAGCAATGAGGATTTAGAGAAGTTCTACGAAGATATAAGCAGTGTACTGAAAACCCTAAAAAGTAATGATATCACAATATTCATGGGGGACTTCAATGCAAAAATGGGAGAAGGAAGTGATTCTTCTGTAGTTGGAAACTTCGGCTTAGGAACCAGAAATGGTAGAGGTGACAGATTTGTAGACTTCTGCAAGGAACATAGGCAATGTGTGATGAATACTTTTTTCAAGTTGCCAAAAAGACGCCTCTACACTTGGAGATCACCAGCAGATACACAAAATAATGTGGTAAGGAACCAAATTGACTATCTTACAATAAACAAAAGATTTAGAAACTCAGTAAAATCAGTAAAAACATACCCAGGTGCAGATGTACCATCCGATCATAATCTACTACTTGCCGAAGTCCAGCTGAAACTAAAAAGGATGAAAAACCCGAACCCTGCTAAACCAAGAATTGACAGAGACTTCATAATTAAACATGGAGGTAAGATTAAAGACGAACTAGAAAATCATTTAAGGGAAACCAACAATCTGAATGATGATGATGTAGAAGCAAACTGGAATAAATTTAAAAATGCAATAGTAGAGGTAACAAATTCAAAAGAGAGAGAGGGGTACCACAAGAAACAACAGTGGATGACAGAGGAAATTCTTCATCTTATGGATAAAAGAAGATCTTATAAAAATAAAAACAAAGAAAAATACAATGAATTGCAGAAAGCAATTAGAAGAAAAATTCGACTGGCAAAAGAAAAGTGGTTTGCAAAGAGATGCAAGGAAATAGAAGAGACAGAACGTATACATGATAATTTCAATTTACACAAAAAAGTGAAAGAAGCAGTAGGCCTCTACAAAAAGAAAACCAACAACTTAGTTGACAAAGAAGGGAAAATTATCTTAGATGAGGATGAAAAACTAAAAAGATGGAAGGAATA